TATGACGTTATGACTTCAAGACAGATTTTTAATCACTAACAAACCAAGAACGTCCTTTTCCTTAAGTGTACTTGCAAAGACCACTATGTTCCCCACAGGATACATTCATTTTCTTATCAAAGCACAAGCTATTAATTTTTTTTTCAGAAAAAAAAAAAACAAAGTTCACCTGCCTTTGAAAAACACTAAAAAAATATATTAGTGAATTTAGTTAGTTAAAGGCATAGGATTCAGTCTAACAGTGATGGAAAACCAAGTGCAATCTGGGCAGAAATCCTCAGAAAGCATCATGAAACAGAGCTCAACACTCTTTTAAGAGGCTCCTTCTCCCAAACTGCAGCAGAAACCTATGCTTACGCTGTTACTCAGAGCTACATTTGTTCTCTCTTGCTTTGTGAATCAGGAACTAAGGAAACCTTTGCTATAACTCTCTCCAAGCTGAGAATCCTGCTATCCCTGTGAAAGCTTATTGCCTAGATTTTAAATTCCTTGATAAAGAAAAGAAATATAACCCCATTTTTTACACAGCTTATTTCCCAACATTTTAGTGAACCTTGCGGACATTGACATTCTTTGCTATTCCTGTAAAAGAGCAGGATTCCAACTTCAGCTTTATTCTCCTTCTGCTCTATAATGCACCTCACATTTGCCATTTCTAAGGCCCTGAAACACAAAGCTTGAGTAAAACTGTCATCACAAGTTTGCTCCTGTGAAACAAAGTTTAAAGGTGTGAGGATTGCACACTGCAGAAAGGTACAATCTTAGAGGGCCACCAAGTCAACACCTCGCAGTTAGCCTGTACCTCCTACAAGAATATGAAAGCAAATGAAGGAAAAGTTTTATTTTTCAGAGTTGTTTCTCTGCCTCAAGTACACCAATCAATTCCATTACTTTTGCCTGTACTTCTTCTAAGAAATACTATATAAAGCCTGGAGAAGTTCCAGATCTTTGAAGGCAGCTATAATTATCAAATCCTGCTGAGGCTACTCATGGGGTGGGTGGGAGAAGAGCAAGAAGCAATCAATGGCTTAAAAACAAGACATTCCTGCATGATTCTTGGATAACCAGCCCATCAGAACAGTAGGATATTTATTTCTGATAATGGGCATACTTGTGTGAAATTGCCAGAAAATTAATAATTGACAAGGTGGTACAGTCTGACAGACAACAAGAAGTTATTTCTCTCTACCTAGTTAAGTGAAAAAGTGAAAAATTTACAAGCTAGACAAAAGCAGCTGTGGCGTAACAAAGAACACCTCCCTCACTATTCAGCTCCTTGTAGGATCAGTGCTCAGGGGTGCAGGTCAAGGAGAGAGAACTGACATTCATTTGACATACAGGTGTGTTGAAGAGGTGGTCCTTAATTCCCAATGTTTCAAGACCATTTGCTTCAGTTTCTCTCACAACATGGTAGTTTAATTCTCTGGTTTGGTGAAACTATCACCCACCAGTGATTATTAATAGCTTTCTACACACCGTGTTCAATTACCTAAAAGATGAACAAAATCAATGAACGAAGAAATGAATTAACTAAGAAATGAACAGCATGAGAGAAAATTATGGCTGCATTAGGGGAAAACACTGTCAAAAGCTCAACATGTAAGGCTTGACCTTCTTCTAGCTAGGTTGGTACACAATTAGATTTCATGAACTGAAAAATTCAGATTGAAAATAATTTTATTTAAAATACCAACAGCAAAGGGCTTCTGAGAAGTCCACCTCTACATTACATTTTAATGTAGTGTTGAGGCTGTATAAAATCAGCTGTCTTCAGTTAATTTTTTCCATATTCAACTTCATTTGCACCATGTTAACTTTTTTCCCACAGACAGCACTCTTTCTGCTGTAAACTACAGGAGAATCTATCATTGTAAAGGTAAATTGCCACAAACAAACCTTATTTGTTTAATAACTTCATATGATGCTACACAGAATTTTATCATCCTTGTTTCACAGAATCACCAAGTCATTATGGCTGGAAAAAACATCCAAGACCATCAAGTCTCAAGTCTTTGAAAAGCTCCACCTTGTCAATCAGACCATGGCACTGAGTGCCAAACCCAGTAATTTCTTGAACAGCTTCAGGGATGGTGACCCCATCACTTCCCTACATTGTCCATTCCAGGGTTTAACAACCCTTTGCATGAAAGAATTCCCCCTGAAGCTCCCCTGGCACAGACAATTTCAAGTGCAGCAGCAGAAATAAAATAGCAAAACTAATTAAAGAGAAGAAAAAGCCATCCAGGATTTCAGCAAACAGAACATTACACATGACCCAATACTACTTTCTCAGAAATACACTCAAAACTTGAGCTATACTCCAACCTGCAAAAACAAAGAAAGCAGAATATTTTAGGTTATGTTCTAAAATGACAAATATTTTGTTAAGGGTATAGAAAGATTAACACAATTTGAGTGAATTCTAAATAGTTCATGAATGAAAGTCATTAAGAATGTATCCAAGTTCTAGCTTACTGTTAAAGCATTCTCCAGAGGAAAAAAAATGTTCAGTAACTCTGCCAGGTGATTTACACAGTTAGGATGAAAAACTACAAACACTAGTTATGGAAAAAAGAATCAATCCACTGGGCAGGCTGCTGCAGAAGATTCAACCCAGTAACCTCTGTTTTATCGTACTGAGAACCTGTATTGTGCAGGATGAAGACTAAAAGCAGAGACAAATTCAAATGAGCACTGCAGAACAAGGATTTACCGAGCTACACGTAAAGATCAAAGGTTGATCTATTTGGACTTTTAACAAATACGTAATACTTTTAAACTATACATAATGTCTGATGTTACTTCAAAGCATGCAGACAACTTTCCATAACAAAAAAGCAAAGAAAATATTTGAACCTCAGTACATTTTCCAAGAGTCCACCAGAACAATAAAATCCAGAGTCCTGGATAAACAAACAGGCACCTACTAAAACATTTTGTTTCTAAAGAGTTCCTACAGCCTACACATCATACTTCCAAGCTCCCTACAACTTCAAATATGCAGAAACTTAAAAATAAATAAAAATAAAACCTATAAATACTGTGTGCAACAGAAAGAGAGCTGGAGAGAGAGTCTGCACCCAAAGCCTTGAATTCTTATAAAAACAATGAAATCATGAGCCAAAATGTCCAAAACATTAGACAGTTCTTGCCAGTCTGGCTGGGACAGATTCCAGGCAACAAGTCCAGTAAAATTTTAAACCTTGATCGCTTACCAAGGTATATCAGCATGCCATTACCAGTAAATCCCATTCTACACTTGCAGCACTCCAGACAAAAGACAACCTCTATATTCTCATATAAACTGAGGGTGAAACAACACTTTTCCCTGGTCCTGAGAACAACGGGGGGGGGGGAAGGGAACATCAAATTAATTCAGTATAAACACATGCACAGTCTATAGAGAGTAATAATATCTCCTTTCAGCATGTCTTGGACTAACCAGTAAGCTGGATGCCAATTGGACTTTACTTGGGAGCTTCCATTTCATCTATTTTTCAAGCTCAATTCACCTGTATTTCTCACTGTTCTTGAAAACCATTCTCATTAGGAACTTTCTTCAAATTTCCTCATGTCCCATATATAGCCAAATCAGGTTTCACAAACTTAATTGACACTGATACAACAGATGAAATACAATCACACAAGCAACCATCTTTGAAAACAGAGTGTATGCACACCTAAATCCAGAAACTTGTCTGCTAGTTTATAGAACTTATTTCACAACCCTTCCTTGTCACAAATCCAGTATCATTAGGTCCTTATGCAATTCCTTTCAGAATCCATTAATGCATTACATCAGTTTTAATTTAAATTCTGCCTGTGAAAAGATTCAGGATCTACATCTTCACATGAAAACTTTACTGAAACATATAATGAAATTTTCCACTTTCTAAGCTTCAAATGGGCAGCAGAAAATACTGAGTCCTCAATGCACTTTTTTAGGTTAGAGAAGAACATAAGCTAAATATAATATAATTGGTCCATAGCAAAGAAAATATTTTGCCAACAGTCTCTAGATGTAAATAGGTATTCCTAATCTCAAGCTTAATTCTTAAACTCTTGCACTAATTTCATTTGTGCTTTGAGCTGTCAGGCAAACTGGTGTTTTCAGTGACCACACTGCTGCTGAGTTTCTAAGTGAACAGAAGTGTTTCTCCTGACTTGCCTTGCTGTGTGTAGCTGTCCATAACCTCCCTGCAAATTTTCACCCTTCTTAGCATGGTCTTTTTGAGGAAGACTGGCCTTGTCTTGTTTGTCTGACAGAGTCACATGAGAACACTGCTGGGATCTAAAGGGGCAGACGGGCTTGACACCAGGCCAGATTTACTTTCAATTGTACTAATCCAATCATCCCAAATCCAACCCCAAAAATGCATTTACAAGTGATGTAGGCAGCTAGTGCAGGTGGGCTTGGGATCAAATTTAGGTTTTCTAAGTAGAGTACAGCCAGCAGCACAGTGTTTTTATGTGACTTTACTGTACATTTATGTAAAAAGTTGAGAGTATCCCCACATGAAAATACATTAGAAATACACATAAGCAGAAGCCTTTGTTTATATGGAAGGAAAATTATTTTAAAACACTCTTTTCAAACACCAGAAGCATAAAAATCCAGCACAAAGGTAGCATGCACTCATGACTCCTTAGCTAGAGCAGCAGCATGTGTCACTTCCTTCTTCATAGGTCTAGTCTTCACTTGCCAGATATCACTTCAACAAAATGAAAGGATAAAGAAATTTTGCAAAACAACATTTCAGAAACAGTAAGCCCAAATATACCTACTTCTCTTCCATATTTTCTTATTCTCGCTTTCAAATATCATACAGTCCTGTTGAGTACTTATTACACATGTAAAACAAATGCATGCTATCCTTTTCATCAAAAATTAGAGCACAAGAAGAAAGCATTTCAATAATTATTTCTAAAACTGCAACAAGTTCCACGACTATTTTTAGCAAAAACATGTATTTTAAACAAAGAAATAAGTTTTTCATTACCTCTCTAAGATGCATGTTTTCCTTTTCCTTCTGATCTAAAATCACTTCTAAATGATTAACCTGAGATTCAGCCTCTGCCATCCTTCGAGTTCTCTCATTGTCATCTTCCATTCCTTTAGAAGGCAAACCTTTACTTTGCAACATCTCTAGAAGCTTTTTTATTGATTCATCTCTGGCATTTAGTGTTTGCTTTTGTGTTTCAATCCTAAGCTCCATTTCTTCTAGAGTTTTTCTCAACAGGAAGAGCTCTTTAGCTTGTCTATCATGTTCTGCCTGAAGTCTTCGAAAATTCTCCTCCGTGAGCTCAATGGTAAAATGCTCAGCCCCTCGGTTCCCACTTTCTTGCTGGAGAAGATGGTTAAGATCTCTCTGGGTTCTAAGCTCATCTTGAAGTGCCTGGATTGTCATTTGCAGATGCTGCAATAAAGAAGATAAAAGAGAAATTAGCTTCGGATCTGATCGTAGAATTAGTATTTGATTAAAGCTTTGTTGTATGCTGTTACAAAAAGTCATTAGAATTAGTAATGAAAATATACCAAATGGTCTTATAAAATATCAAATGCAGGTGACAATATTTGTAATGATATCTTTCAAGTGTTTCTAGAAAGAAAAAGACAACAACATACACAGACACAAAATAATGTCAGCTACAGATAAAATTAATAGCAACAAATGCAAACACTAGGCAGTGACACATCCATTAGAACAATCAATGAGTACCTACAAAGCTCAAAGACTCAGTATTCCATGTTTTCTAAATTACCTCATAGACTAAAGATAAATCTGCTCTTCATGGTGCTCAGCAGTACTGATGTTCATAAAGTCAATCAAAGCCCTCGCTAAAATTAAAGGGGACTTTGGGGAGGGACTGAGTTGGGACTGGTTGGTTTCATTTTTTCATTTTGGAAACTAAAGCTATGAAAATTTTAGTAAACAGGATTACTGTATCTCTAAAAAGCAAACAAAACAAAAACCACAATAAGCAATACTGAATTTTAAAAAATAAATTCACTGCAAGTAGTGGACAAACCTTTGTTCTTCTGGCATCCAAAAACTGAACAGCATGGTAAACGAAAAAATGAAGCAAAATCAACATAAATAAAGGTCAGATGCAAGCAAAGGAGATTCAACAGAAAGAACTGAATTCAACAAAAAGTATATTCAACAAAAAAATAATTTTATTGAGTTATACAGAAAGGCAACAACAAATTCACAGTACTCAAATATATAAACATAGACTTCACTCACTAGAGGTGACAAAGAAAAGCATATTTGAAATAATCAGTCCCATGATAAATTACAACATTCCTATTGGACATTGCTGTTCTTTTACACTTGTAACGTTTTTCAGAACACTGTAACTTGTCCTAAAATATTTATACTACATATGAGTACAGGGATCTGTCTCTGTTCCAGAGGTATGTCTTGCACTCCTTACTCAATGCAAATCAAAATCAAAGTGGATTTTGCCCTGTTAAGGTTAGAGTGCAGATAATTAGCCTAAATTGCTATGGCTTATGATGTTCATTTCAGATTGTATCCTCATCTGACAATTTGTTTTTCTTGCTTTCTCCCCTCTACTCATTGCCTACACAGCATATCGAGCTTTTAGAAATATGAATTCCTGAACAGGCTCACAGTCTGTACTAAGACATTTAACTGAAGGAATTAGGGGACTTAAATGCATGTCATCAGACCTTTTAGATTTAATTGATGTTCTGCAACTCCACATTCTAAAAAAAACAAAACGACAACAGAAACCACACCAAATAAAACCCAAAACAACAACAACATAGACACCAAACAATAAAACTTCATTTCACTTGATACTACCTTGATGTTTTACACAAGGACATGTCAATCTGTTGAGTTTTAGCAATGACTTAAACTAAATGAAAAAATGTTAATCTTGAGAAATCAACCTTTTGAAATAATGTCTTTTAACAGTTATTTCAAATGGAAAAGAAGTATTGCCAGTGGTAGAATTCATTAAGACACTCTGAATCTGTTTGATCATTAAATAAGCAGTACTTTAATGTATGTCCAGATCTTAATTCTCTTTGTATCCGCATCTTACTAGGCACACACTCAGTTGAGAGCCTACACATGTAGGCCACTCATTTAATGGCAACCCTTATATTTCCTTAATCTCACCATCTTTTTAATTAGCTATAATAAGCTTAAAAACTCCAGTAAACTTTAAAATCCTTTAGATGTAGAAACTTTCCCACTTTGCATCTACTAATGTGCCAACTGTTTGGAACCCAAGACTAACTACACCTTCTGGCTTCCAAAATGATTTCACTGTCCTACTTCTCACACCTGACCAAGAACCTTCTCTGTACTACTATGCTACAACTAAGCAACAGCAATATTCAGTAACTACCAGCACCCCAGAAATAGTCAAAATTATTTCCCTGATCTGAATAATGATTTAAGATACATCCTCCTAATATTAAATCAGACAATATTTATTACTTCATGCTACAATCTATTTGCAAATGAATGTTTTTCCAAAGTCAAGTAGTCCCTATATACCAAATGTCGATATGTCTATCAAAATCTAGCTGAGCAAAAGAAAACTAATTCTAAAATACCATGTTCTAACCCACAAATGAAAGTAAACTTGACATACACATTGCTAACACACAAACCTTCTGAATGTAAGCTCTAAAAACCAAAAATTGTTAGATTAACACAAAAATAATTAGAAATCAGAATTGAAACAACCATTCTGGTTAAGATAAATGAGACAAGTTCCTTTTCTGCCCCCAGCAGCCTGTGCATGCTCTCCTTAGCTCCACCCAGACCCACGGCTGTCACTAAGCATGGCAGTAGTTCTGGCTGCTTCTCTGTGATTATCTTAAAGCTAACAGCCTCAACTGTGGCAGACTACTGCTACTGCGACATGAAAGAATCCATTTTTGTACACCTTCAAGACTTAGAACATGGTGGACCAGATTTAGACTTCTGCTGGCACAGATTCTTCTATCTGCAGCTTGCTAAGGAAAGGAAAGAACAAATGTTGTGAGGGTGGAAAGAAATTGTATAATTAACTGCAGGGGAAGGAATGTAGGAGTGCTGTGAATATCTGTCACATGGCTATCATTACAGACACAGAACTTTACAGGATTTAAAAAAATAAATGTAAGATCTATCACATTTTTTATAATTTCTATTAAAAATGGACCAGTTGACCAGAAATATTTCCATGCCAATTTCTTGACAATATATAAATAGTTCTCTCAGAACTTTTTCAATCCTTTTCCACAGCCCAGCTCCAAGAAGCAATCCATGGAACTGTGAATTGCCCCATAAACTGAAACAAAACTATAAAAGGAAGATTAGCTATTGGCTCTTCACAGACTTCAACTCATGTTCTACACAAGGAAGTTCCTCTAGTCTATGCCAACTAACTACACCCAAAAGAATTGCCTGCTGAGAACTCTCCTGCTTTAGTGTGCTTTGGGTCAAATAAACACTTCCAAGGCATCCCAAAGCCACAGATGTGGTGAACAGTAGGGAGGAATGGAGACTTGCTGATTTAAAATTGCTGGTCCACCTACAGAAGCACACAGCTTCTCATGCTTTGCACCATCACACTGCCACCAAAAGCAAAGAACACGTTCAAGAACCCAAGTCCACCGGATGTTAGCTCTCGATTCTCCTGTTTCTTTCCCACCCCAGTAAACAGAGAATTGGCAGGGCTGAATCAGTTGACATAGTGGAGTCTCTTGGCAGTGGCAAATATAAAATTATACAGAAGACTGTGCTAAAAAAATCCTGTGTAACTTGTATCCTATAGAAAGCTACAGCTATACCTGAAGAATGCACCTCAGCAAATATAACAGCAAATTATCCTGTCAACCATACTCTCATTCTCTAAAATCAAGCTTCCTTATTTATTCCATAATCTATTTGTGCTCTATTTTAATTCTCCACAGTATGAGGCTCTATCATTGAAAGGAAACAGACTACTTAAAGCTTTCTTATGAACTGCATCCAAATCAATTTGTATGTTAAATTCAGTTGTGCTACTGAAATAAGTACAGGCATTACACTTGGAAATATTTGTAACTAAGTATTATTGAAGAAAAACACGCAAATCATAATTTTCTTCTTCAAAGAAAAAAAGGGAATTGGAGACATTTTCTTCATTACCATAAATTAAGAAATTAATTGTCATGCATTTCCTCATCTGCCTATTACAGTTCATAAATCTGGCATCCAAAAAACCCCAAAAAATTCTAGTTGACTAGAATTCTGCCTGAGTAAGACAGGACTGACAGAGTTGGAAGGAGAAGACAGATCTAATTTGGGAGGAATAGCAAGAGATTCTGACCACACACAAATCTTTAACACTAAAAATTCTGAGCGTGAGATGTGAGAGAGCTTTTGCATAACACTGTTTGCTGATATAACCACATATTTGAAAAGAGAGAAATCTTGTCTGACTTTGCTTACTTTTTCTTTGCTTATGCCTTTAAATTTGGTGTCTTGTCAAATTCTACAAAGCTTGCCCTTACAGGCGTGCCTTGCAAGTTTGATAAGGAATCTTGTCACGTACACTGAAATGTGCATTTCTTAACACAGATGTGGTGGGCTGAGCTTGGCTGGAGGCCAGGACTCCACCAAGCCACCCTACCACTCCCTCCTCAGCAGGACTGGGGGCGGGAGGGGAAGAAGATGAAATAAACCTCATGGGTCAAGGTAAAGGCAGTTTGATAAAACAAAAGCAAATGTGATGCAGAGAAGCAAAGGAAAACACAAGATTCACTCTCGATGTCCCTTGAGCAGCGCATACCCAGGCACTTCCTGGCCAGTAGGGCTTCAGTACAACTGCTCCAGAAGGCAAACACTGTAATAAAGAACACCCCCTCCATCAGCTTGTTCAAACCTTTCCTCCTTGTCCTCCTCCATTACTAACCAAGTGCCCACCAAGCTGCTCTATCACTCCCCTAAGCTTATCCCTCACCCTGGGCTTTGCATGTTAAATAAGGAATCTGGTCACATACATTTAAATCTTTTTTTTTTTTTTTCATGGAATAGAGCTCACTTCAGGAACAGAGCTCAGTTCCCTTTGACAAATGCAGATCTTAATTCACACATAATCCTGCTTCTAAATTAAATACTCTCATTATGTGCATTTTGTTTTAATTTCTTGGCCCACTCTGATCTTCACTAAACCTAATTTCTCCTCAGGCCCCAAACCAGCAGTGAGGAATGCTGATCCTATGGCATTCTACTACTGTTTAAAAAAAATCCAAACGATTATGTAGTCCCTGGAGTTTTCTGAGAGCAAAAACTGCCCTCCAATACATCAGTAATCTATTCTGGAATCTGACAGGGCAGTGCTGACATATTTAATCTGAAGTATCAGACTTCACTACTATTCAGTCAGCTTCTCCAGGTCATCTCACATAAGTATTTTGGCGAAATAAACAAATATTGCATAAAGACTTGAGGTCATTGAAGAAAAATGCATCCCCACACAGGCTGAAAAGCTTTAGTACTGCAAATTCAGAGCAGCTTTGTAGCTGTTTTTTAAGGAACAACCTGTAAATATATTTCTTTCCTAATTTCTTTTTTTGCTGTGGGCTGAGATATGTTGACAAACCAAATCTTGTAGCCTGCAATCACAAGAACCAGAAGGTCAAGTGGAAGAGACTTTTAGAAATGTAACAAGTCAAACAGAATTGAGAGGAATAATCTGCAAAGATTATTGCAGATGATTCTGCAAAGATGTTGGGAGGAACAAAGTAAATTTCTTTAGTTATTAAAAAGAGGTTTAATTAAAATCTTTGTCATCAGTATCATAGCAAAATGCAGGGGTTTGTATTTCAGTGATCCTTACCATGACAACTTTTAAGCAGTTCAATTATGCTGCTATGACAACACTGACCTCCTTTTTTTCCCTTTGGAGAAATACTGTTAGTAGTGCCAGAGGCATTAAATAGTATATTAGTTGACTGAAAAATCATCAGTAACAAGTATTTTGACCAATATGAACACGTGGAAGAATCGCAGAAGAATCTGTTTTCAGATTACTTCTTA